CGTCAGCATTTCCTTTGTGTCTTGAGCCGCCGCTTCCATGGCCGTAGCTATGCTGCATGCACGGTCCCAGGTGAGTTCTGTGTCGGGCATTGCGAGAAGACGACAGCGTATGGTGTCGGCGTGCAGACCCGCGATGAGTCTGTCGCGTAGAGCTTCCTCGAGGAAAGCGCCGAACTCACATGTCGCTGCGAGCTTCTTCAGTTCGACGGCGAAGTCAGTCACGGTCTCGTGAGGCCCTTGGTTTCGTCGATTGAAACGGAAGCGCTCTGTGACCAATGAACGTCTAGGTGCGTAGTGTTTTTGAAGGATGCTGACAGCTTCCTGGTACGATACCTTGTTTGGCGTCTTCGGCAGAAGCAGGCTCCGGAGGACGGTGTAAGCTTTTTCACCGATAGCCGTCAAGAAGACTTGCAGTTTCTTTTCTTCTGCGATGTCATTGGCTGCGACGAAAAGCTCGAAGCGTTCCAGATAAATCTCGAAGTTTCCGCTGTCCGCCTGGAACTCCGGTGGCTTCCCGATAGTTGCGGTCATCTTCCGTTCCTTGGCTTGTTCAGCCATCCTCGTCGCCAATTGTTACATTTAGGGGCCGGGATGCAAGTCTGGCAAAGCACTTTATTGCGAAGTGCAACACAGGCAGCCTCGGGACCAACAACTAGTGGTACATCAAATCGGGGCTCAATATATACAGATAAGATACACCGGACGCAGGCGCACAGCACTCTGACGTCATACATAAAAGTGCATACTTCATGGCATGCTGTTATCATACACACGCAGATACGACAGCACTGACTATTTTTTTTTTCAGGTTCCACATCATTACGTAGAAGGTACCGACAATTGTGCAGACCACGTAGAGATTATGGCTGCTGAATGCTCCAAGGCTGCAACAGATGTGAAGCTCTTACTTCAAATAATAACACAGACGTCGCAGGCAAGGAGGGTAGACATCGCTGACAAGACCACCACTGATGTTATTTAGCTGTACCCGGCCCTCTGCGTTCCCGAAGTGGTAATTTTAACGCCTTTTCCACTAAACTTTCAAAGCAATAGTCAGCCTGAATGGTGGATCAGTTTTGTCTGGTTTTGAGTGATTTCAAACCTAAAAAGGGTATACTCAGAGACTTAGGCCCTGCCTAAATTCAGCTAACAGCCTGGTTTGCAGCTGCCTACTTGCACTGCCGTTGTGCTCTTTGTCTGGGTTTAACACCTGTTTGTGCCATGCGCCCTCGCAGTGTGTGGTTGGAGAGGGGCATCATGAGAAGGGAGGGACCAGAAGTCTTGTTTTGCCGCAATTCCATTTTTCCTGCTTCCACACCTGAGTGGTTGCCTCGTCCATCTCGTCTCCAAGATAGTATTTTTATCCATAAAGTATACCTCAACAAGAAAGTGTTTTGAAGTTTTTCCAAGCCAGTTTTTGTTTTCTTTTGTTAGTGGTCAAATAATAGATCTGAGCTCGCTAACGTGCAACATATGAAATCAGACATCTAGAACGTTGTCTAAATTTTCTCAAGGCCAAAATTTCAGCGTCTCATTTCAGTGTTCCACTAGGCCGTGTTTTATTTGATCTATATTTTAGGCAGAGAAGCATTCTACTCATGTGCTAATAAGTTTCAATCTAGTCATGTTCAATAAACGTCCGTATGTTTTTTTTTTGTTTTTTTTTGTAAACCGCGGTATCTTGTCTTCATTTCACCATTGGCAGGTTGGACATTGCAGATCATCTCTTGTTTCTCCTACCTCTATTCTCTATAACTCATACATGGTCTTGACAAGAGTATCAACGATGAATGTGTACTTGAATACCCATCCAAGCCAGTGGTTCTGCAGTAGATGTAGTTCCCCAGAAAAGGAGCCTTGTCGTTCAAAGCCTGTTTTTCACGTCTGTTGACGTTTACAAAACGTCTGGGTGATGTATATTGCCTCTTTGAACAGTTCGAGACACTCGATAAAGAGCGGTTTACAAAAGAGCTACTGTACACCTAAAATTGCTGCCCAAGTCGCTTTTTGCGAATAAGTTATTCAAGTTAACTCGTAAGTGGTCTTTGCAACAAACCTTTCATTGAAAAGGTTCATAACAGAAAGCTCTTTCGGTGAAAAGTAACTTAAAAGTTAGGGGGGAGCAAGTAGTGGTTGAAATGAAATCCTTTGTAGATTTTTTTTAGTTCTCTCTCGGATGGAACGGTTTTTCATCTAATACCTTTGCAAGCTTCTTATAAGCTCTTTCAATTGACCAGTAAATCATGAAAATCTTTATTGAGTTTTTTTAAGGTCTAAGGAAATAACAGTTCTAAATAACCTTTCAAGGGAACTTTACTGTTGGGGTGTGCGAATACCCGTCGGTTCAAATAGCGCAGCGATATATCTACATTCAGGAAGTCCACTGTACACAATGACTTTCATTGCAGTGTTGAACCTAGAAATATCGCTCTTCTTTTTGAACCGAGGGGGTATTCGCACACCCAACATCAAAGTTACCTTGAAAGGTTATTTAGAACTTATTTCCTTAGACCTTAAAATAACTCAATAAAGGTTCTTCATATTATTACTGGTTAATTAAAGAAGAGCTTATAAGAACCTTCCAAAGGTACTTGATGAAAAATCGTTTCATCCGATAGAGAACTAAAAAGAACTGTTTCAGCGACAGAAGGGCTGGAAAGAACTTTTTAAACGTTCCTCACGAAGAACTGTTCCATTGGAAAGAGAACTTAAAAGAACTGTTAAACGGTTCTTCACCAAGAACTGTTTTAGCGAGAGAAGGGCTGAAAAGAACTTTTTAAAAGTTCCTCACGAAGAACTGTTTCATTGAAAAGAGAACTTAAAAGAACTACTTAAAGGTTCTTCGTGAAGAACTTTTTTATAAGGTGCTTAAAAGAACGTTTTAGGGTGCAAAATATGGACAAGCCGAAGAACTCCAGAAAGTTCTTTTTCGAACTGATTTTTTTAGTGTATACCTGATCTTTAAGTGATGTGTTTTTACTGTGTCCAATGACGGCGTGTCTCGCCATTTTGTCGAAGTATTTCTGTATAACATATGCATGCCTACAGCAATAATGGCGTCACTCAATGTTTGTGACTTATTTACGGGCTTTCTTGGTCACATTTTTATATAGACGTCTCATATCCATACTTCGGGCCATTTCGTACCGATTATCTAGCGGTTTAATATTTTGCCCGTGTAATAAAGTGTTTTCGAGACCCGTTGCTATGTGCAGTTTTCATTTTAGCTAATAAGAAACGCGTATGGGACTAAAAGCGCGTTACGACGGTGGATCCACGCGCGTTGCGTTCGCTTCGACGCGCGCCCCCGACGGCCTTCCTTCGCAACGTCACGAGAAGAGCGCTACGGCCGTAGTGCCGGACTTCCTAGGTCACGTACTGGAGGCCATAGAGGGGCACTAGTTGGACGCGAGCGCTGCTCCCCACGTTCGGATGACGCAGTGCTCGTATCCCCACTGTGCGCCATCGATGGGTAAATTACTTCCAAAATGTAATATTCACTTTGCGTCAAAGTAGTTTAACTACAATTACAATTACTACTACGTGAAAATTAATTAATTACAACTACAAATTACTTGTTAAAAGTAATGCAATTACTTTACAATTACTTATTTCTGAGAGCGACCCGACTTGGACCATATAGCTTTAAATGAGTTGTATATAATGCAACGTATTTGTTCATTCCTTTCCCCAATGCGTGCTTTGCTTTGTGTACTTTGCTCATTCCTTGCCCCAACGTATTGTACTTTGCTTTTATGAATTTCGCTAAATTCATGATAAAACTTGAGAGTTTGTGGCAATGAAGTACTACGTTCTTATATTTTTAATGAATAATAATAACATAGTTCATACGCTGGTAGATGCCAGACCGCCAAAGAAGAAATTGGATTGACGGACGTTTGTTAGCCAGGCAAATGAGGTGCGACAATTAGTCATATATGACTATTTTACAATTGTTAATATAAAACAAAAATCCGCGCGAACTAACACGACCGTATTCACATAGAAACATCATAGTGTTGTAAATTATTTACATTGAGTTGAAATTATAATGGTTCAGACATATAAAAGAACCGAACCGGGGCTCCCGAATCATTGGTGACAGTATTCACAGGTGCGAGGTCAGTCTCCAAAATGCTTATGCAAACAATATCCGAAGTAAAACCAATAGGAAACAAACTTAAAAATAATACAAAGATACAAATGCGCGACAGTACTGGAAGAAGGGCGTAAAAAACTGGCAAAAGAGAAAGAGAATAACTTCATAAGCAATTAAAATTCCCATCCTCAACTGAAAGCTGAAGCTCAAAAAATTTTTTTTTTTCATTCAATATTTTGGCATGTTTATGCTATTGTTTTCTGCTCGCAACGCAGACAACGCTAGACGGCGCCGTTGACGTAGGCTCCAAATAGGATTGTCTCTCAGAGAGCAGTGTAAGCAACAAAACAACAATCATTGTGACACAATTTATGTTGTGCGTGTGTGTGAGTGCATGTCTGTGTGCGAGTGTTTCGCCGAGAGCTAGGCCGTTTGTGCGAGCGCTGAGGCCTTCAGAGAGGCTCCGTCGGCGCCGCAAAGTTTTACAGAAGTAATTGTAATTGTGTCTGAAATTTTGCAATTACTGACAGTAGATAATAATTAAATTACAATTTCTTTTAGCTGAAAGTAATTATTACAATTACAAATTACCAAGAAAAGTAATTAAATTACAGTAATTCAATTACTAACCAAGTATGCTCTGTGCCCCTCGATGGGCTCCAGTAAGTGACGCAAAAAATCCAGCACTACGGCCTTCTTCGCACGCGACGACCGTGGCACCGACCACCGACCCCCTCCTACGTCGTACAGTTATGTTATGCAAAGGGAGATGGCGCGACGGTCGAAAAGTCAACGTGGTGCGCATCGGAAGCGATAGATGGCGAAGCAGTCCGCAAAGCGGAGCCCGGTGACGTCACGAGCGGCTCTGACGAACCCCGAATTTCGCGACGGCCTTGAGCTTTCCGTGTTTTGCCGTCGTGGTGTGCGGTGTGGAGGCGTGCTGTGCCGCCGAAGTGCGTACTACGTTGTGTTGACAGCGCGCGGCGTGCTGCTCGCGGAGTGCGCGTGTGGCGTGCGGGAAGCGTGGCGTGCTCCGGGACCCGTGCCCTGGGCTCGCCATGAGAGAGTCATGAAGGCCGGAGCTGCGCTGCTCCTGTCCTGCCACGGACTCCTCTGCGCCATGGGAATAGGTGAGCGTCGCACGTGCAGGCCACGCGCGGGTCACTTCGACTGCCTCCCCTTCGCTGCCGTCGCGCTCATTCTCGGGCGAAGCGACTAGCTTCTGGTTAGGTGCCCGAGTGCCAGTGACGGAGTACGAAGCGAGTCGATTTAATTGGTTTCGATTAACACACCGCGTCGTTTGTGCCCCTCATCCAATTGGTTGTCAGGTTCGCAACTCTGTATGTGCTTATACGTTGCTCGTGCGCGGCAGCGTTCTGTGTGAGGACCGACATCGAGAAATTGGTGAATGAATTGCTGCGACATTGTTCTGAGTATACAACCATCCGTATGTATGTCTATACGTCGGGACTTTCTAACTTTGCACGTATGCTTACTCTTCTGGTCACAAAATCGGGCAAGTAATACGAAGTGGCATATCACCGTGTAAGCTGAAATATTCCCTAGTTGCGTAAACGTGGAACAACGACGAAGTTTTATCGGAAGAAACAAAATTTGGTACTACTGAATTCGCGGTGCTGCGAGACGCTGAATTATTGAACAGATATTTCAGCGCCCCGTTTAAAGTCCCGGCAATCAACGGAGGTGAGTGAGATAAAAAAAGAAAGGAAAACAAATTTCAGTATACTTGGAATAGATAGCGTGCTGTATAAGGATACTGTAAATAAAGGGAAGAACATAAAGCACAGGGACGAACAAGACGATTTCCCCAGTGGCAGGAAACGTCTGCCATCGGGTTAAGATCCGTAGAAGAGATTTTCGTCTTTGAAGCGGAAACGTTGCCGGCGCGTACCTGCGGCCCGACCTTGAAGTTGGCGGCATCTTTGAAGCAGGCTCGTACGCGGCTTGAGTTTCGGTTCCTTTTGGGGAATTTGTCGCACTGATTTACGTTTGATTCCAGTCTCACGAGGGACTTCTCTCGTTGTAACCCTCGGATTTCGCTTGACGATCGCTTTCGGGTGATGTGACGGTGGGCGGAGGTGTTGACAGTGCGCTTTCTTCTTCTTCCGGGGCGGTCGCCTTCGTGGCCGAGCTCGGGAATAATGGCATCAGGCACGGTTGGGCGAGAATCCTTGAGCAATGCTCGAGCAACTTCAGATTGACGATAGACCTTGACGAAACAACTAGAAAACAGCGAAACGTTTGTTAAAAGATAAAAAAAAAAAAAAAAAAAAAAAAAAAAAAACAGCACAAATAACAAAGTACACAAAAAATACGCCGAATTTAAATACGGAAATGCTTCGTTTACGAATATGTAAATCATTCTTGCAGGAGTCTCTAAACTTTGTCCAAATGTTACTCTGCTCACCCTTACAAATCGAGTTAATTTGTGTAAAAGAATAGACTCCAAGTCCCAACTAGGTGCGCCCTATTTGGCTATAGGAAAAATTCTCGAAATGTGGCAAGCGGCACTATTAAAATAATATCAAAAAATATTCCGGAATAATAATTATTCATACGTCCGCAGGCGCAGGTGTATGTGTGACAATTGCCCCACACATTCCGAAAAGCGTTTTAAAAGGCGGAAGCATAATGCGTTGCTTTTCTATGTGTTTTGTCCTCGACCACTTGTGCGAGGAATGTTTCCGAATTTAGGTGCTCTCGTTGTCACTTCCCCAACCGTCAAAGAAACATTTCAGTTGTCTTTCCTCTTGCACTTGCACTGACGTCCTAAGCGCGTTCAGTCTATGCCAGACTTCTCCAGTACCTCGCTTCAAGTTGGAAGCGTGCACCAGTTTTTTTCTACAAACATCACTATAGTTTTAAAATAAAAAGGGAGGCTGACAGTTTAGGAAACGTGTTCACCACTCTGGCTTAGTAATTCGTTCTAAAGAATCACAAAGCTTTATGGCAAAGGCCACAATTCCATCGCCTCCGGAACTGTAATAAGATAGATGGTCGTTGCACACACTCACATGTAATGATTTTTCACCTTAGCTTTCCTTCTCAACTCAAGAGCCAAATGAAAAATCACGTGATCGTGACGTATTCTTTCACCGGAACTGGAAGTTCTTCAAGCCATCTGAGGGTCGCGGGGTTAGCCGTCCGTCTTACATACTTACAGCGCGGTCTACGATTCAACCCAGCGAGCGCGTGCTCGAGAGCTGACGACCGCACACATCACGCCCGCGGAAGAAAAAACAAACAAGCATTTTGCGTTGTTTTGGAGACGATGATTGCAGTATTGTATTCCCTCTCTCCGACCAAGTAATCTTTTTCGACTACTCTTATTTGCTTTTATCATCTACGCAAGCATTTTGTAATAAGAGTGTTTGTAATCTCAACGAAATGTCGCGTTTTCATTGGTCACCTGTCGTCCTGGCTGCCGGAGATGACCTCGGTGTGTTACAGCTTTCATTGCTTTTCGATAGGGAAATCGGCCGCGCATCGTCGTGATTTATGAATTTCTAAGATGCTTAGAGCCCACCGAGTGAGTTATCGCCATATTTAGGCGATTTCAAAAACCTACTCGGGGCACCTTTAATTTTACTTTCATCGACGTAGATAACAGAAGTGTCCGACTGTCAACTTTGACGATGTTTGTTTTGGAATGTGATGACTTCAAGCTTTCTACCGCGCTTTTTAAGCACACGACGGAGCTTGTCATTGGCGAGTGATGATTAGTGCCATCAAGAAACTCGTTGGCCACGAACGCGAATCCAAAAAGCATACGCCCGAGGGAGGGACGCAGTGTTCGTGTCGAATACGAGGGCTGGGTTCGGTTGACGTGCTCCGGGTATCGCGGATGTATCGCAGTGAAAAAGGCGGAGAGCTCTAGAAGGAAAGGAGGTACGAAATAGTCAGCTGTGTTTTTAAATTTTCGTACCCAAAAAGCAGCCTTTTGACTTCCTACCCTCTTTTTTGCCCACGAGACGATATGCGATAAGTAAAATTCCATTCTGAAATTATTTATTTCGGCCCAAAGTCAATTTAATGTAAGCCCTTACCGATTATATGTCAAGAAAGGCAGGGCGCGGTCAGGCCTTCTTTTATTGATGACGATGATAATAATAAGTGTAAGACAGCTACGGGGATACAAAAATAACTGCAGAGATTACAGCAGCAGGCAACAGGTAAAATACATTCATAAAAGAACTAGGTTTTACAGGTTTACACAAAAATTCTATACAAAAAGTAACTACAATGATTTAGGGTTTATATTATAAATGTCCACGCCATCAGCATGATATTTGTTGAGCAATGAGGGAAGATTATGTTATTAAAGACTGGTAATTGTAGTTCGTGCGAAACGGAAACACTTTCCATTCCTCGGAGTAGCGGGTGCGGATGGCGGGCATGTTTTTGACCAATGCTGATGTTTGTTGCAGCCATCTGCTGCAACAAACATCAGGATTGGTGTTTAATAAAATGGCGATGCAGCCAATAACATGACGCCACCTGCCGAGAAGAAGGCCCAAGATCAAGCCTGAGCATAATCCCTGCTTTTCTTGAGCAGCCAGTGGCTTTCGATTTGTATGGGAATATGTGAACTGTGCGATGTATGGCGACATTGAAACTCGGAGCTGGACCGCAGTTTGACTTTCACGCATTGTTGTACACGTTCCTAAAAAAATTCACTAAAGCTCGTTCCTCGTTCCTTCTAACTTTTGGAAAGCGTTCCCGTTACAAGTTTCATTTATGAGAAAGGAACTCGTTCTCGTTACAGTTTGAAAAACGGAACGTATCGTTGCATATACTTTACTTTCATATTGTGCTAATAACCATATTTAGTTAGATGAAACGAAGTTTTTTGTTTCTTAGTTTTTATATATCCCATTAAATGACAACATACGAATTTGAATGCCGTGATGGAAGGACACCAAGAGATGACCACAACCGGAAGCGAGGTTCTATTTGTTAATATATTCCCATTTAAAAATCTCAGTGTTTCTCCATATCCATGTTTGTGGTCGGCGATTAAGAGACGAGCCAAATGTTATGTGAGCCGGGAAGGGGGAGCGGGGTCAATTTTGTTACTCTTTATTAAAGGGTTACCCCAGATCGCACGAGCGTTTTACAACAACTTCACGCGCCTCTCGTTTGAAGTTACTTCTGGATACTGTTCTCCTCAAGACGAGTAAGTGGAGAAGAGTGTAGGACCTTTGGAAGGTCAGTCTTGAAAACTACCAGTCATTCCTCGTGAAGGTTGTGTTCGTTGTTTAGTTTGAAGATGGGGGAGAGTGGGAGAGGGAATAAAGGGACATTTTTCTGTATCGTTTAAGTAACCAATGTTCGAGCTACAAAGGTGCGTTCGAAGTCTGGTAACCTGGTCCTTTGTTGTAACTGTAGGTCTCTTAGTGGAAGTTCAATGATGGCTGTAGTCGGCCTTAGATTTCTAGATGTATGAGCATTCTCGGAAGCAGAGAAAGGAGCTAGGTCTGAGATGTCCCTCTTTTTGTGTCTTTTCCTTCGACTAAATGTTCGCTTTTGTTTTGTGCCGCAGTTTCGGGCACTGAAAAGTTAATTAATATTCACCAGCCCGCCGGCACGCGACTGTTACCAAGCGATGACCCCAGAAAATAAACCCTAAAATGAGTAACAGAAAAGTTAACGAGATCCTGCTATTTGTAAACGTTTTTTTTTTTTCTTTTACTTTTTAGAATTTCGTTTTTAGAAATAAAATAAAAATTACCCCACTGGTCGAAAAGAAAAGAAAAGGAGCACCGTTCCTTTTGCCGTTCCTGTAAATAGGTAACGAGTTTCCGTTCCAGTTCCAGCGATGCGAGATGGAACGGCGGCGTTCCTTCGTTCCTCCTAAAAAGAAACGCGTTCCAGGAACGCCGTTCCGGACAACACTGCTTTCACGCAGGTACCTTCTTTTTTCTAGAGGTGAATGACCGCGGTAGCTACTTTCACAACGACGTGTCTTTCGTTTTTCCAGTCGTTGCTACCCAATTTACTCGACCCCTGATTATGAACAAAGCTTCCGTCGTCACTTTCCCGCTGAGTGCGTGGATTACCAATCATCGCGATCGACGGGGCGGAGATTACGCCCTCGTGGGAAATTGCC